GTGGAACTCACTCTCATTTTCTCTCTCTCATCCCCCTACCCCCCGTCCCAAGATGGACTCATGTCCTGCTTTTAGCAGACTTGGCAACTTGGAGAGGTTTCCTTGCCCTGATCCTGGTCCCACTCCAGCTCCACATCACCTACCGCTCCATCTGCTTCTGGTGCTTCTCCTCCCGGGCCTGTGCCTTCATCTGCTGCACCTCAATGGTGTCTGGCTTGCGACGGCGCATGTATAGCTCATGGTTCCCCATGCACAGGGCCAAGATCCGTTTGTTAATCCGCAGCCGGGGAGCATAGAAGACAAAGTCCTGGTGGGAAACCAGCAATTAGAAAAAGTTTGGAGGATTAGATGAAGGTGAACTTCTCTAAGTCCAAAAGCACTGGAAAGATCATTTAACTAAAATTTCTATTATATATAGGGAGGCTAATTATCAGAGTAGTAAAGTTACTTGCACAGGGCCAAATGGCAGGTTAGTGGCAGACCCAGAACTACAACCAAGGCTTGAATCTGAAATAGGGGAACTTCGACTAAGCCATGATTTCTTTCAACTTTTGTATCCTAAAATATCCTCAATCCAGTTGAAAGTTAGGAACTGATTTTATCTGCTAATTAGGGATCCTTCTGGGCCTCAGGGGCCTCTCTTCGAGGCCCAACAATCCCTGCATAATACACTGATGAGTGCAGTAAGGGTGGCTGGACTGTTTCGGTAATCTTCTAAAAGCATATTCCAGACCTAGCTCCTTAAATCCTTTTGTGGAATAACACAGGTTTTAAGTATGTACGTGAATACATAAACATTCTGAACATTGATTGTCCTGGTTGTTATTGTTTTTTAAATAAGCCCTGGCTCTCAGCTGGCTTTGTTACTTACCTTTTTCTGTTAAAAGTTGTACAGAGCAGCAGTAAATACATACACACACACACACACACACACACACACACACACACACACACACATGAAAATCCAGTGAGTTTGAGTTTGTTACCACAAATACCACTGGACCAAGCTGATGAGCAGAGGACCATGTCCTCTGCCACTGAATCTAAACTGCTACAGTCTCACATAGCTTGGTGTTCAGTGAAAGGAGCAAAAGCTCTAGAGGTCAAATGACCTAGGTATAAATTGCAGCTCTACCATTTTTAGCTGTATGATCCTGGGCAAATCACTCCATCTCTCTGGCCTCAATTTCATCAGTTATAAAATAGGTATGTTACTATCTACTTAACAATGTTGTTGAGGGTTTAAGGAGACAACATACTGTATATAAAGTGCCTAGCAGGATAAGTTCAGAGACCTCAAGGCTGGAGAGTAGTTGAGGCTTCATGAGAAGGATCTGGCTCAGCATGGCAACTGGCCTTTATTGAACACAGGGTATACCAGAAGGGGAGACCCTCATCTCAGTTTTCTATCTTGTTCCCATTCACCAGCTTTCCAGTCTTGTCAGGCACAGGCAACCGAGTAGCTGAGAAGTGTGTGACAAGCATGTTAGAGAAATGACTGGACCTAAAGCACTTTCTTATTCTTGGGTTGCTCTGGAGAGAAGTCTTGAGAGGACAGCAGCAAAGTTATACCAAAAAGCAAGTTTGAAGGATCATCTTTGGATCTGTACTTCTCCTGGCTGTGTCCATTCTCCACAATTAAAGATAAATCATCAAGTACAGGATGGGACAAAAGTAGGTTTGCAGTTGTGAGTACGCAAAACAAAGAGTTTATTCTTGAATTATTATTAATTATTGTATTATTTTTCATATGAACAACTGTAAGCCTACTTTTGTCCCACCTATATATGAATAGTTTCCACTTTCTGAGGCCTACAGGCTTTAAAAGATAACATAGGATGCACTCTCTGTTTCTACCCCAGAGCTCCAGGGCAGCAGAAGACAGTGACTTAGACTGCCTGTGGCTCTCCCTCACCCATGCTTCTCCTCAGACATAGGTAGTAGGATGGCACAAGGCACAGGATGCCTCCTAACCACATCTTGGCATCAACATCCCTTTCCATCACCAATCACCTTTTGTGTCTCCTGTATGTACATGTATACACACATACACACACACTGAAAAGGGAGAGAAAACTACAATAACATGATTGCTTCTAGCATTATCCAGGCCTTGGCAAGTACTTGTCTTGGCCAGTGGGAAGAATCACTTACCGGGGCTTTTTTGTCAATGGGCTTGATAACAAATTTCTTGTCATTGAAAGAGATGTTCCTGATTTCACTCCACGGGAAGCCTATTTTGGGAGTCAGTCTGTGGAAATGGAGACCAAGGACATCAGAACAAGCGCAAAACAAGAAGGACATAGAGGGTTGGTGCCTTGCCCTCCACCCCCACCAAGTTTTCCTTTCAGGAGGTAGATTCATTGCCAGCTCAGCCTGTGTCATCACATGCCACCAGGCCAGTTTGCCAGCATTGAGGCGGCACAAAGGACCTCCTGATACTACAACCAACACATTACTCTTTGTCCCAATCTCTCATATTTGTTTTATTGTATCTTTGTGTGTGGCATGGATGTAACCATCTCTCACAGAATCCCCAGTCCTATTTAACTGGGACTCTTCCACCCAAGGTTGTAAAAGTGGAAAGAAAGTAAAAAATGAGCTGTAAGATTCAGAAGTTACTGGAACAATAATCTATTGATCAGCATACTCATCAAAAGCAGATCAAGGGGAACAAATAAGCAACTGAGATAAGGTTGTAGCAAGAGAGTTTATAGGCCAAAAGGCACTTAATCATCATACAGGGGTTGGATTAATTACAAATCATGACAAAGCAGGTTCTAGGCCAGTGTTATCCAACAGAAATATAATAAGAGCCACACGTAATTTTAAATTTTCTAGTAGCCACATAAAATTAAGTAAAAAGAAATAGGTGAAATTAACTATTTATTATAACAGTTCATTTAGCACAGTATATCTAAAATACTATCATTCACACATGCAAATCAATATTTAAAAAAATATTAATGAGACATTTTACATTCTGCTTTTCATACTAAGTCTTCAAAGTCTGGTGTGTAGTTTATACTTATATAGCACATCTCAGTTCAGAGTAGCCACATTTCAAGTGCTCAGTAGCCAAATGTAGCCAGTGCTACCATAGTGAATAGTGCAAGTCTAGTCAATGCAAGATTTAAAAGCCTGAGAGAGGTTATATAATTATCTGGGCTGGTCTAAACTAGGTAGAAAAAGAACTACCCAGGTGGAACCCAGAAGGTACAGGCTTACCCTCTGGTGAGCTCTAAGTGCCAGAGTGGCCCAAATAATCTAAGAGACCTCTGAGGTATACCTGTCATTCTGCTCATAGATGTTGAGACCCAGAGCATCCACCCCCAGCCACAGCTCTGAGCCTTTCTTGTTTTTGATGCTGAAGTAGTTCACACCATACATCTCCAGGTCTTGAGCAATCTTCAGATACTCCAGGACAGCATCCTCCCTAAACAAAAGGGTGGGGGGTTACAGAGGGAAACCTGTGACTCAGACCTAGGGAGAGAGAAAGCCTATCTGCTCTGCACATCTGACAAGTATATTGCCATGAGGGGTGGGAAAGGGGATGGAAGGTAAGCAGATGATGGTGAACAGAGCACAATATGAAGCCTGAGGTCTGAAGTTCCCAAGAAAAATAAGGGTGGGCTGACCTCCATTATCTTCTAGCATATTAGCTATCATAAAAGCCTCTTTACAGGCAAGTTCTTAGCTGACCCCAGATGGTGATGGCAAAATGACAAGATTTGTTCCTCAACTAGAGAGTCCCCATGTGGTTTGCCAAGAGAGAGCTCATTCCCATTTTCTTTCTTGAGGAGGAGCCCCTGGTGACCCAGATGCTCCCTAAGGATCCCAAGGGCTCCTCCATTTAATTATGGTCAAAACTATTTGGGCTATCAGTTGCTATCATTCACAAAATAATATAGCTTTATACTGGTTCTGATTAGCCTTCTATCTCTAAATTACCCTGTGCAGTGCATTCCCCTCTCTCTCTCCCCAACATTCTCCAGTGTTCCTTGTCTTCTGTCTCTTATCTCCCCAGAGCCAATCTTATTCTCCCTGCAAGGGCAGTGGAAGCCCACAGTTGCTAGGTCATGCTTACCTGAGCATGCCCCGATGCTCCTCATGCCACACCTGGATTCGTTCCTCCCACTGGTCCTTGTTGAGCTTGTGTTGCTCCAGGACCCTAGAAAGACAATGGGTAGTGAATAGTTCAAAGCACTAAGCCCAAATTGCAGGGGTTAAAGAAAGCGCACTTATCTCTCTAAGGGGCTGATGCAAAGAGGTTATAGAGTCAGCCCACTGAGGTTACACTGGAAGCAGACTGAAATTATAGCAGAAGGTATTAATTAGACATAGGGAACTGCCTGAGAGGTAGAAAAGATGAGAGTAAGTGACCAATAAAAACAATGGGAACACTTTCCTTCATACCTTTAACCAGAAAATCCAATAATGTGCTGTGGTCCCCAAGCAGAGCAGTAATGTATCAAGAGTCTGTGCTGATTTGTGGGGCTATGAGTAGGGATCGGCCTCACAGAGGCAAGCACACTGTTTTCTAGATCCTTGTGGAATCAACAGTTTGTGTTTGTAAGAATATTGCTCAGGGATGAGATTACAACTTGTGGCTATAGAAGAGAGAACTGAGCCCAAATGGCTTTGAAAAAAACTAACAGGCTCAACCTCTCAGATGTACTAGATCATAAACAAGACTTGTTTCAAATATACCATCTCAGACATCATGGCAGGAACTCAGGTGGAATCCCAGGGCACAACCACTATCTCTAATACCTTCAGGTGAGCTGTACATATGCCACAGTTCCAATGGGACAGAGGCTCCCAGAATAAAGCAGAACTTTTCCTTCCAATGAAAAAAAAAGCATATGAAAATGGCCATTGAATACAGTGGGGGGAAAAACCCAGGATTAAAAAATCAAGAAACTAGGGTTCCAGGTCCAGCTCTGCTTCAAATGAGCTGTGAGAATCCGGCAAATCAGAGTGAATACCTCTGCACCGCCGGTTCCTTAGCCAGGAAATAAGAATAATGTCTGCCTTATTTGTGTGTTGTTGTGATGCTAAAACAAAAATAATGAATGTTTTAGAGCATTCAGCTTTGAAGTTTACAAAAACAGAAAGCTCTGGACACTGGTTATCAATATTAAAAGACTGTTTGAGCTACCATGTCCCTGACTTGCATATTTCTCTCTCCCCCTGTGAACCTCTGTTATAAGAGGTCTAAATTAGTGAAAAGAATTGAGAAAAAGTGGAATCAGGGAGAACAGAAAATCAATCTATCTCTAGTTCTCAATATAAGAACCTGTATTCAGGTAATGAAGTTCTGTAATCAGGCAAACAGATAGGGTGGAGCTTTTTATTTTGAGAGCCTGGGAAACAGCAACAGGGTATGGTACCATATGCAAATATGTCTCTCTGACTACCATAACATTCAGACAGACCCTAGTGGGGAGAAACAGATCTGACAGCCCCTGTGTAATACAAATTGGTCAGCCTTGGGCCATGGTTCCTCTGGCTAGGGCAAACAGCCAGACACAACCTTACCTCTGTGGAAGCAACTTGTCTCCTGCCAAGTAGCCTGACTTGTGGACTTCCTTATTGAAGTCGCCATACTTGGACTGGACAGCATAGGATGCCAGCAGCACAGCAGTCTCAGGTGGGCAGTAAATATCATCATTGAGAATGCCCTCCTTCACTTGCAGGAAGAACAGGCGCTGTGTGATATCCTGGATCAACTCCTCAGATACATCCTCAGGGTAGAACTTAGCCCGGAACTTGAAGAGCAGGGGGCTTTCCTTCCGCACATCCTGGGCAGTCACCTGGGAGCAGCAAGGATTTATGGGCTCTCAGAAAATAGACTTTGGGGTCAGAGAGTGGCTGTAGGATGAGGAGAAGACACTGAAAGGTCATAAATTTGGGTAACCCTGAAGAGCCAGGGGGCATCTCTCCTGGTAATTCGGAAGAGAAACACATTATTTTTATTGAGTACCCAATCCCATATCCACAATTGTTTTCTGATGGGGATTTTTTCCTGAAATGAAGATGGTCATAAGCCCCAAAGCTACCACCATCTGACAATATATCCAAATGCCTGCAAATTCTAAGGGGAAGCCTAAGAAAGCTCCTCTTTTAAGGCTTTCCCAACTCCATAAATTAGCAAAGACCAGGGTGCATGACTAAGGCCTGGGAATTGGGTAAGAGAACAAACTAGTCTGCCTTTTAAAACCTGAAATTGGCTCTTAAAGGTTCCACGGTTGTCCAGCAAAAGTTTCCAATCTTTGGGAAAACAAGACACTGCCAGCAGAAGTTGAGACCTATCCCCTAGACACAATCAGAGAAACAAGCCACAAGAGAGAATGGAGACCTCCAAGGACAAAGGCAGACTATTTGAGGATATTGAGGTGAAGGACTACCATGTTCTTGCAGAGATGCTACTTGGAGGTGGAGAGCTTGAAGGGACCTATACTCAGATCATCCCATTTGGAGATCAATTGATATAGAAAACGAAGAAAGAACATCTATATAGAATTCAGGCATCAGTTAACAGGTTGAGGGAGAGATAAGGTTATGAGACCTCTGAGATTCCAGTTCAAGAGTATGTGACTTTCTTTTTAACAAATCTCCTAAAGCCCTTGACTTTGAAAACAAAAAAAGGATACCAATCTCCTCCTGAAGAACCACTAATAATTATGGTCTAAAAACAAGTCAAAGTTCAAGACAGAGCTCCCAGTTGGAAGGGAAAGATACCTTCCTCCTTGGACCCTGGCGATTCTTGCTGTGAGAAGTCAAAGTGGAAAAAGAACAAGAGCTTTACCTTGGCTGAGTCCTCAACTCTTATTCTGATAGAGTGGTCAACAGACTACCCGGTGAAAAACACAGACCTAGGTGTCCTAGATTTTCCAGCTAGCATATGTTACCCCTTCCCTCCAGCAAGATCTGGAAAAGGAATGAATTCCAAACCCAAGAGTGGTGTAAGCAGTTACCTTCTTATTGAGTTTCAGCCAAGTGGAGAAACCCTTAGTGTCCTGGTATTGCAGACCAAAGAACCAAACTTCCCTCAGGCCAATAGTTTTCACCACCTGAAAGAGAAAACACAAAACAACCACTGATTGAATGCCTAGCCTGTACCAGACACAGAGAACACAGAAGTCGAGCCCACTTGGTCCCTAACCTTAGAGGACATAAGGTGCCCAGGGTCTGGCAAGAAAATACACTTGAGCAGCAGTCAAGAAGTGATGTCAGCATCTCTTTGCACAAAGTACTTCTGAGGTAGGGAATGCATCTATTACTTATGAGCACTACCATACACCAATAACTTTGTATCTATTATCTCCTTTAATTTTCACAAGAGCCCTATGACATAATTGCAATTAGGCCCATTTTACAGATAGTGACAGTAAAGTTCAGAAAAGTAAACGTTCAGTCAGTGGCAGAGCCAAATCTGTTTGACTCCAAACCTATTCAAATCTAGTGCTATCATTTCCCTCCCTCTATTATGCCATGCAGCTTCCCACTCCCAGGATGGATTAAAAACTGAAGGTAGGCATTGTTGGCTTAACTCCTGCATCTTGTTCCCCTGCATTGCTCTTCTATCTTTAGCAACTAAGAATAATGCCCACACCCTTCAGAATGAGTTCCATTTACAATGCCCCAAGAATGTTTGAGGAGACAGTGTAGGGACTGTAGTATCTATACACTCAAAAGCTGTGCTGTGTCTGGGGGGTGAGATGCTTCTTTGTAACACTGATTAGAGCCAAGTCATGATTTCTGTTACCATTCACACAGTTTAAGAGTGGAGCCTGGCCGGGCGTGGCTCAGCAGTTGAGTATCGACCTAGGATCCAGGAGATTGAGGTTGTATTCCCAGTCAGGGCGCGTGCCCGGGTTGCGGGCTCGATCCCCAGTGACTCTCTCATCATTGATGTTTCTGTCTCTCTCTCACCCCCTCTCCTTTCCTCTCTCTGAAGTCAATCAAGATATATTTAAAAAAAAAAAAAAAAAAGAGTGGGAATGAGGGTGGAAACAGGGTGAGTACCTCAGTGTAGTAGCTGAGGAGCCCCCTGCTGTTCTGGGCCTCTTGGCTGAGCAGTGGGAAGGAAAGGGAGGTCAGCCAGAAGACAGATGGGATCTGTTTTCCAGTTCCTGACATTAGCATGTTAATGGCTCTGGCTGGCAGCTGCACCCCAGCATGCCTATCACTGAGGATGAAGGCAATGAAGCTGAGCCACATCCTAATGAGGTCATGCTGGCACCAGGCAGTCTTCTTTATCTTTTATTTTTTTGGTGGGGGCAGGGGAAGGGTGAGAGGCAGTAGAGGTGGAGGGGTGAGATGAAGAAATTTACTTGGAGATAGAGGGAACAAGGGCACAGTGTTGCTGATGTCCTTCCCTGTGAAGAAATCACTATCTCCCCTCAAAACCCTCCCCCCCCACACACACACACCCCTCCACTGTATCCACAAAGTTTCTACTATGCATCCATTGCCAGGCCCCACAGTCACTCTCAGAGCTTACAATCTAGAGCTTCAGAAGCCCCAAGGAAAAAAGTAGCTCATATGTATTAATTACCTATTATGTGCCAAGTACTGAACACTAAAAAACTCTGATATAGCTATTATCTCCATTTTATAAATGAAAAAGCTGGGGTTTAGAGAGGCCATCTTTCTAAAACCATAGAGCCTAGACGAGAATCCTGATGTGTATGACTCCAAAACCTGTACCGTTTCTTCTCTAGTATGCTTTCTCCCAGTGCCAAAGGCTCATAGGAACTTAGGAGCCCTAGGATTCTCAAGTGACTAACTGCTTTGTTTCTCTTTTAGTCCAGATATCCTAGCCAGATAATGAAATTTGACCACCTTCATCTAGATATGGTTTCTGGCTTTCCCACTAGGTTCAGTCAGCAACCACTTTGGGGAGAAGTCATATTCCCAAGCCATCAACCTTCAATGCCCCATCAACCTTTGCTGCTCACTGGGGCAGTAGAGGGTGATGACCTTACCTTTCACATCTTAAATCAGGTATCAGGAAACCTGAAAGTCTCACTTCTCTCTCCACTTTGCTGTGTGTGATTAAGGCAGCACATTTCCCTCTCCGGCCTCAGCTTCTCCATCTATCCTGCTTCCCATCTACTACAAGTGGTATGGCTTAAATGACCTTTTTCTTCTCTTGAGCTTTATCATTCTTTTAATTAGGTTTTTGTAAATGACTAAGAAATACAATCCCATTTCCCATCTACCTCTTGCTGACTAGGAACATGTAACTAGGAACATGTTTAGAAAAGATAAATTGGGGGTAGAGGTATATGAGGAAAAATTAAAAAGACTTCCCAGGATTCAACTAGGTAACTAAGAACATGTTTAGAAAAGATAAATTGGGGGTGGGGGTATGAGGAAAGATCAAAAGACTTCCAGGATTCAATGGCAAGGTGAGTCCCTGCGTCTAAGTCAATAAGCAGTAAGAATTGCCAGCCGGTTTTAGATAGAGAATACAAAATGTTCATATAATGAAATGGGCTATTGGCTATTTTTTTTGCAGAAGATAGAGGGATAGTGTGTAGACAAGAAAGATTGTTTAAAGCACCTCTTATCTCACCCTAGGTATAAGATAGGGAACGATTAACAGTTCTAATGCTTTTCTCCAGGGTTGCAGAATAGTGTGTTCAGATACAATCAGTGAGAAGAAGTAAGTTCCAAGGAACAATTCAGCCCCAGGAGAGAAAGAAACCCACCAAAGATGCTGAAGATCAACAAATAGGGCCAGGATACTAGGTAGGGGTGGTGGT